GCCTAAACATGGGCAGATCTGGCAGTGTACAATACAATGCACACCACCGGAGCTGTCACAGTGCAGCTGTGGTGAAACTACAAATCCCATAATGCATTTGTCTCTGTGAGTCATGCCTGTGGCTGTTGGAGTCTTGCGGTGCATCATGGGACTTGTAGTTCCACCACAGCTGGAGGGCCGGAGTTTACCTACCCCTGCTCTATAGAGAACACTGACACTCGAATATCCCTATTCCTAAAGCATGAGTAAGCACCCAGGGCACTCCAGCTGTGCTGAAACTACAGATACCATGATGCCTCTGCGAGTCATGCCTGTGGCTATTGGAGTCTTGCAGTGCATCATGGGACTTGTAGTTCAACAACTGCTGAGGTTGCCTAGTATTGCATTAGAGAATTGATTTTTGGGTAGAAGGCAGCCATTTAGCACATTTGTTTGAATTTGGGGTGAAAATCTATGTTTCTGAACAAGTGTTCATTGCTGCACTGATTGGGCTGCGCACCCAGCAACTGGTGGTGGCGGTGGGTCACCCAGTATACAGGTTTTACAGACATGGGGGGGGGTCACCCACTATACGGGTTTTACAGGCACACAGCCTGCAGATTCTACTAGATTGTAAGCTCTCATGAGCAGGGCCCCCTTACCCTCCTGTATTGAAACTTTACTGTCTGCCTTTATTTTGTACAACGCTGCACAAACTGTTGGCGCTATATATAAATCCCGTATAATGATGATAATAATAATAATAATTAGGGCTGCAACAACTAATCGACATAATCGATTATTGAAAAAGTTGTCAAACAGGTATACCAGAGAAATTAAAGTGCAACTAAAGCTATTTTTTAAAAAAAAGTTTTGGATAGAGTGGAGAGGGAATATATCACCTTTGTTGCTGTCTGTGTCCCCATTAGGGAGATTCACCCTTTCTAATTGTCCTAGTGGCTGTTACCACCAAAATTCCGGGTTACCATTCCAAATTCTGGGTTGTTACCAGAACAGGAATAGATGGGAAATCTTCCAAAGGGGTTGTCACCAGGGATTTCCCCCAATTTGGAGGGATTTGCTTACACTCCCTGTTGTGGCTATCAGACAGGAAGTGATGAGAAATCTCCCCAATGGGATACAGAGAGGGGAAAAAAAAAAAGCTGACAGGTTATAACCATCCCGACTCTATACAAAACGAAAAAAAACGTTTTTGGCTTGAGTTGTACTTTAAGTAGGGGAGGAGTAGTAAAAGTGAGCCTGTCCTTCAAACATTCCCTATTCTATTCCGTGTATCCCAAAATGATGTCTCGGCTTCATAGTGTGCCCTGAAAAGTGCAATTCACACTGGACGCCAAAACCTGAAAACTAAAGCTGACCAATCAGCAGTTTGAGGATTTATATTCCCATCTACTTGCTGTATAGATATTCCCTCATTATTATTGTCACTCCGCTCTCCTCCTCTGCTACACTACACATGCAGCTGCGTGCACGCGCCCCAGGACGCGCGTCTACGTGTGTTACCGCGCGCCCCCTACATCTCACTCCCTGTGTGAGCGAGCCGATGGCCGGCCTTGTTCTCGCGAGATTTGGCAGGAAAAGCCGGGGAGAGGAGCGGACGGGGCTCCTCCTGGAGGAAGCGGGTGAGGAGGGGTCAGTGTGGGGGAGGAAGTGGTCGTTGTGGGGTGGGTGTTGTGTGGTGTCACTGCTGCTTGTGGTGTCCGTGGTTTAGGACATAACCTGTCTTCACTACTCACACTAATGTCAGCGAAACTTTTCACGGAAGTTGATCCCGGCCCGCTGGTACTTGTAGTTCACTCACAGAGCAGCCGGGACCAATGGGACAATTTAAAGTGGATGCAAAGCCAAAACTGTTTTTTAACGTTTTGGAGAAAGAAAGGATAAAACTTTTTTGTTGGCTGTTTGTTCTATTGGGGAGAGTTAACTTCCTGTCCTGGACAATGGAACAGGAAGTTAGATGAAATCTCCCAAAGTGAGGGGAATTCACATTCGCCCAGGTCTCTTTTCGCCCAGGTTCAGTTTATGTAAACACAAGGAAATGATCAGACGTGTCAATAAACGTGCTGCTTCTGGGGTCAGGTTCTCCTGCGTTTACATATATTCGTGTTTGCATGTGTGTAGACACGTTCAGAATATCTGCTCTGCCCCCGGACACTCAGGATTCCGTTTTCTTTAAACACAGGTAACCGGAAGGCACTATTTCATGTCCCGGTGTCACCTCCTGTCCCTCCTAAGGTGCCTGGGACTGCCATGGCGGGTGTCAGGGTGGCGAGCGGCCGGAGATCAGCAAACGTCCATTCACCTGTCTTCCCTGTGCAGGAGGAAATGGGAAGTGATGAGCTCTGATCAGTTCCGGGTTCAGGGCTGTCACTCGGGGAAGAAACGGATTGAATGTGGACCTGCACTCAGTTAAAAGAGAACTATGGGGTAAGTGTTTTTCCCCATAGTTCTCTTTAGGGTCACGGCTAACCTCCTCCCATGAGCCAAAGCTCAGTATATCGTGTGCTACAACTCGCGGTATACTGAGACCGCCGCAGCCAGGACAGATCCTGACAATGCTGTCGAGATCCACCCAGCTGCGTGAATGACAGCTGGCTCTACCTATCTAGAGGCAGAGACAGCTGTACCCGCCCCCTCCTCTGTCCGATCCTCCACTTGGCGCTTGAGGATCGGAGAGGGGAGGGGGGAATCCCTGTGGAAATCCCTGACTGACAGTCACCGCCCACTGCAGGGAGATGATCGGGAAGTGAGCGGATCGGCGGCATGTTTCTGCTCACTTTCCGATCGATGGAGCCGACCTGTGACAGCTTCTTTGTCACATGTCGGCTCTAACTATGAGGATGAATGGAAATCACTAATTTCATAGATCTCCTTTAATGTCAGCAGAGGTGACAATAGAGGTCCCATAGACCCCTGATGTCTACTGAAAGAGAACCTGTCACCTGCGCCATACCATCACAAGGGGCTTATCAGTTAAAGCGTAATTCCATTTTCCCTGGTAAATCTTTATAAGTGGAATTACCGCCACCAATCTGGCCTCTCTCTCCCCTCCGTCACTGCTATTACCTTTAACCGAACGCTCCTCTGAGGCTGCCAGTGTACTATCTGTACCCCGAACACAGCCCTGCACTTGGTATTTCAAATTTTGCTCACAAATGGAGAGCACTCCTTGGCCTGTACGGTCACCTGACTGCACTGACTGAGTCTGACCTGGTTGCTAAGAAGTGCTTCTCATTGGTCGGGTGACCGCGCTGACCAATGAGTGCTCATCATTTGGGAGCAAAACTTGAAATAACCAGCGCAGGGCTGTCTTGCTTTGTGCGGTATAATGATGATTACAAGGGCAGCAGCGGAAGAGAAGGAGCGTTCAGATAAAGGTTAGAGGAGTGCAGAGGGGGTAGATTGGTGGCGGTAATTCCATTTTCCAATTTTTTTCTGGGAAAGTGGAATCACCTTTTAAGTAGAAAAGAAAAAAATAAAGTTTAACCACTTAGCGTTCAGCATTTTAATTAAACGGCCAGACGGCTGACTCCTAACGACGGGTGAGTGTTTATAAACGCCCTTTCCTGCTCCTCCCCCTCTTGTTTGATGCATTCAAATGTTCGGGTGGCTATAGAGTTGCCCGATTGCTTGTATGGTGTGGGGAAGTGTTCTTTTATTAACCCTTGCAGTACAGGGGTGTGCCTACCGCAAGGGTTAATAAAAGCCTGGAGTTCTGCTTTACACTAAAGAAAATTCCTACACTCCTCAGTGCCGTCTGTGAGCACCAGTCCCGTCTGAACGGCATCTGCTCAGCTTTACGCCGGGCGAAAGTTTTATGAATGAAGTCCTAAGGGGCCGATTTATAAACCTTCCACCCAGAACGCGCTTTGCACAGCATTCTCGACACTAGATGGAGCCAGGCAGCACTGGAAATTCCCGCGCTCTTTGGCTCCATCTATTGGCGGGAATAATGGCGGCAATAGGGCTGAAGCATTGCTGATTTACATTATAATGTATTGCTGGGACTTGTAGTCCTGCACAGCTGGTGGTATTCTGCATTGCTGATTGACATTATAAGGTATTGCACAGCTGGTGGTATTCTGCATTGCTGATTCACATTATAATGTATTGCTGGGACTTGTAGTCCTGCACAGCTGGTGGTATTCTGCATTGCTGATTGACATTATAATGTATTGCTGGGACTTGTAGTCCTGTATAGCTGGTGGTATTCAGCATTGATGTATAGTGATTATATAGCAATGCAGAATAGTACCAACTATGCAGTACTACAAGTCCCAGCAATGCATTTTCTCATTACCTAGAGATGCACCAGTGCCAATACTGGGCATTTTCACGCCCAAGTGGTGAAACGACAGGGCCCAGTCGCAGCTGCAACTCTGGTAGTTCCACCGCTTGGAGGGGGGGGCCCGGACAGGAGGAAGAGGGTCCTGTTAACCGCCTCGGCTCCCAGCATGCAGCAGGCCAACTCTCCGCAGCTCCTTCCCATGGGGAGTTGGGGGGGCCCTTTATGGTTTCTTGCACCAGGGGCCCTGAAGTTTTTAGTTACACCTCTGGTAGGCAGGTCACGTTGTAATGCTGTAACAGGAAGTTATCAGCTGACAACATTTCTGGCAGAGTCAGCACATCACAAAACGCTTCCAAGTGTATATTTAACAGACCTAAAAGGAGCAAATAGGAGAAGTTCATTGTTCGGGTTTTCATGAGCAGCACACTTCCTGCAAGTTTATTGATCAGCTAATAAGGAATGATTGATAATATCACAAAGCAATGCCGTTGATTCTGATCCATTTCTTACTATTCTATAGTTATACATAACGCACTTTTTTATCCTTGGATTCCATTCTGCAGAAGGTAGGGAACACCGGGGTTGGGTTTGTATTCAGAAGCTGGGAACACCCTTTCTAAATATAACTTTGTGTCGTTCGTTAGCATCAGCTTTTATCTGAGTGTGACCTCATCTCATGTCAATGCTTTTTATTTCTTTTTTAGGAGAGAAACAACAGTAGATGAGCATAAGAAATGCCGAGCGGAGGGTTAGAAAAGAGGAACTGAGCTGCCCTTGTTACTTCTGGAACGATATCCCCAGGACGGCATGGACTCCACAGCTGTGATGATGTCATGATCATGTGATCACACACGGCACGGTTAGAACCGTCTGAACAAGGCAAACGAAGCAACGCTCTTTATCAAGGTAATTCTTTTTCTGTTTGATACTGTGATGTTGTCGGTAGACTTTTATTGTAAAGCGGAACTCTGGGCACAAAAACCTTCATTTAAATATATTCTTCAATGCCCACAAAGGATAGTCATTTACTTTGTGAGCACCACTTGACTTTTTAAGGCCAGTTATTACCTTGTAAAAGGTAATAGTGATATCATCACCGTGCTGCACATAGCTTGTGCAAAGGGCAGGGCTGTGGGAGGGATCTGAAAGGTGTATCCACTACATGCTGCCTGCAGAAAACTACAGGTGGGGGCAGAGACAAGACCACTCACCCTGTACAAGGAGAAAGAGCAACAGCGACTGGTCTGTATTACAGGAGGGGGCGTAGACAAGACTAGTCACCCTGTACAAGGAGAGAGAGAGAGCAGCAATGACTGGCCTGTATTACAGGAGGGGTCGTAGACAAGACTAGTCACCCTGTACAAGGAGAGAGAGCAGCAGTGACTGGTCTGTATTACAGGAGTGGGCGGAGACAAGACTAGTCACCCTGTACAAGGAGAGAGAGAGCAGCAATGACTGGCCTGTATTACAGGAGGGGGCGTAGACAAGACTAGTCACCCTGTACAAGGAGAGAGAGCAGCAGTGACTGGTCTGTATTACAGGAGGGGGCGTAGACAAGACTAGTCACCCTGTACAAGGAGAGAGAGAGAGAGCAACAGTGACTGGTCTGTATTACAGGAGGGGGCGTAGACAAGACTAGTCAACCCGTACAAGGAGAGAGAGAGCAGCAATGACTGGCCTGTATTACAGGAGGTTGACGGAGACAAAACCAGTCACTCTATACAAGGAGAGAGCAGCAGTGACTGGTCTGTATTACAGGATGGGGGCGGAGACGAGACCAGTCACTTTGTACAAAGAGAGAGCAGCAGTGACTGGCCTGTATTACACGAGGGGGCGTAGACAAGACTAGTCACCCTGTACAAGGAGAGAGAGAGTGCAGCAGTGACTGGCCTGTATTACAGGAGGTTGGCGGAGACAAGACCAGTCACTCTATACAAGGAGAGAGAGTAGCAGTGACTGGTCTTTATTACAGGAGGGGGCCAGCCTTTATTAAAGGAAGCTCCTGCACATAGGCAAGGATTCATGCTGAATCCCACAGATCTGAAACAAATACACAAAGCTCACCAAGATACAGGTAAGTACACACATGACTCTTGTGTGTTTAGACAATATTTTCTCATCCTGGAGTTCAGCTTTAAAGGAAACCTGTTATAGGAAAAATCTGGAAACTTACTGACCCCTCCTTCAAAAAATGCCAGTTGCTGACCCTCTGGCTTCTGACCTTGAAGCCACTGACCTAAAATAAGTACAGATGTTCCTCACTTACCGACTTACCTGTTTTGCGACCACTCGCACTTACGACGGACCGCCGATCGACCTCCGACCTTCCGCGTCAGCGTCAGTGCGACGGGTCGCCGACGGAAGTGACATCCCCCGATCTTCACTGCAGGTCTCGGTAAGTATTTCCATTGCCGGATGTACAGTACACTGTTCGGTACTGTACATCGGCAACGCTATACAGTACTGTACTAATGCAGTATAGTACTGTATAGAGTTCCTCACTTAACGACCAATCCGTTTAACGACCTGGTCGTAGGAACGGAACTCGGTCGTTAAGTGAGGAATACCTGTACACGATTAAAGTGTTACTGCATTTTTAGTCCAGTTACCTGTATTTTTCAAAGTCCCCCAGCATATTATACCCACCTGTCCCCAAACCTGCTGTGTGGCCTCCTCTCTGCTGCACAACCGCTTGTCCGAATCTACTCCACTGACCCTGTGCATGAGTTCCCTATTCTTTATTCAATCCTATAGAAAGCTTGTACTCTGCCAGATTACAATACGAACTCTCCATAGGATTAAATGGAGAATGAAGCTAAAAGTGCAGTTACACTTTAAAGTGACACTAAACTCAGGAGTTAATCTTAAAAATACATTCAACTACCCTAAGGAGAACTATGGGGTTAGGGCTTTTCCCCATAGTTCTCCTTAGGGTAACGGGACGACACAAACTAGCATCCTCCCGTCACCCTAAGCTCAGTATACGGCGAGCTACAGCTCGCCGTATACTGTGACGCGGCAGCTGAAGCGGATCCCGACAATTATGCCGGGATCCACCCAGCTGCGTGAGTGACAGCTGGCTCTGCCTATCTAGAGGCAGAGCCAGCTGTACCCGCCCCCTCCCCCGTCCTTTCCGCCAGTCAGTGCT